TCTATGTATTCTTGCTATAAATGAAGAATTGGATATTGAAATTTAAAAGTTATGTAGGAGTAGAAAGGACCTGGGAAAGTAAAAAGGAAAAAAAGTAACAGTGTTGGAAGACATTTATTACCTAATTTTAAGACTTGTTCTAAAGTTACAGTAATCAAGGCAGTGTTGGCATAAGGAAAGACATATAGATCAATGGAATAAAACAGAGATTCTAGAAATAGAACCACACATATATGGTCCACTGATTTTTTTTGGGGGGGTACTGGGGATCGAATTCAGGTTGGTCCACTGATTTTTGAAAGATTATATAACATTAACATTTTATAGAACATAACCTCAACTCAAGAGCAGAGGAAAATATGTTTTCAACAAATGGTACTGGAACACCTGGTATCTGTACGTAGAAGATTAACCTCAACCCTTTATTTCCATACATAAAAATAACTTGAAAGGATCTATGAACCTAAATGTGAAAGACGGAAACTATAAAACTTTAAGAAGAAATTATAAGGGAAAATGTTCATGAATTTAGGGTAGGCAAGAATTTCCTAGGATACAAAAAACATGGTGTATAAAAGAAAAAAGTTGATAAATGAGATTCCATCAAAATTTAGAACTTTAAATGACATTGTTAAGAAAATGAAAAGTAGTCCTTAACCAGAACATATTTATAATACATATAACCTATGACCAGAATATATAAAGAACTCTTACATCTCATTAATAGACAACCCAATAAAAAAGTAGACACAAGAAGATCATAAATAGCCAGTATAGCACAAGGAAAGGTGTGCGACACTAGAATCAGAAAAATACTAATCAGTACAATAACAAGATTGTATTATACACTCATTAGGGAGATTAAGTTAAAGATTTTGAAAGAACAAATGTCAGCTTAGGTGTGAACCAGTTAGAAATTTCTAATACTGCTAATGTGAATTGTAAAATGATAAAACCATTTTGGAAAACAATATAGAAATTTCTTGTGTTACTGTTAAGAACCAACAGTTCTGTTCTTAAGTTTTTACTTAAGAGAAATGAAAACACTTGTTCAAAATAGAGTTTATATACAGGTTGATTGTCCCTTATCTGAAATTCTTGGGACCAGAAGTGTTTCAGATTTTGAAATCCACTTGATCTGCAAAGAGGATAGCTACTCCTGCTTTTTTTTGGGTTCCTGTCACATGGAGTATTGTTTTCCACCTTTTAACTTTCAGTCTGTG